GATTGCCATGAATTCAAGGCCAGCTTGGACTACAAAGTGAGTTCAAGGCCAACCTGAGCTACATAGCAAGACCTTGTCCAAAAAAAAAAAAAAAAAGTCTCCCAAGATTCTCCTTGCTTCTTCTACTTTATTTTTCAATATTCCACTTCTCCCAACAACATCTACCCTCATTATCCTTTGCTTTTCCCACATATCTAAATCACTTCCTCTATGAAGCCTTCCTTGAACCACTGAGTTCGGTTTTAGTTGTCTGCCTTAAGTTCTTGGTAACAACATTTAACACTTTAAATTGTAAATGTAACTGGAAATATGTTAAATCTACCAAAAAGCAGAAACAATATTTAATGATGTCAGTCTTGTACAGCATGTGATCTGGCACCCCATAGAGGTTCAGGAAGGCTTATGTTGAATGAAGGCCTCTATTATCTGGGTAGGCACTATAGTAGTTCAAGGCCAAGACCACTTGTAGTCCTACCTCAGGAAGCTGAGGTAAGAGGACTGCAAGTTTGCCAGGCTGAACAATTTAGCAAGACTCTGTCTCAAAATTAAATAAAGGCTTGAGGGTGTACCTCATCAGAGCACTTGCCTAGCATTCTCGAGGCCCTGGGTCCAATCCTCATTACCAAAAAACTATTGGATAGTAATAAAAACATAAGTGTTAAAGTGAATGCTTTATATAAATCCTAACCTCTCAGGCTCAATTTTAATAATCTTTAAAATAAAGATAAAAATAGGTTAGAATAAAATACAATTATGTACATAAAACACTTGGCATGTACCGGGCACCCAATAAATTTACTAATGCCTGACTCACAGAATGTTTAATACTAAATGAATAAATGAGTAAATTAGGATCACGAAGATAAATGGCCACCTATATGCCTCAAGAGGCAATGTAATGCCAGGCTTGGTGGCACACCAACTTCCCAACTCTGGGAATTTGAGGCAGAATGTTCATTGGAAATTCAAGCCCAGTTTGGGCAACTTAGTGAGGTCCTGTCTAAAAAGGGGAAGGGAGATGTAGCTCAATGTGAAGGGCCTGGATTCAATCCCCAGTGACAATAAAAGAGAGGGAATGTAAGGGGGTGGGAGACAGAATAGAACTGATTTCATGCTTGTAATTATTAAAGCTGGAGTATAGATACACGAAGATTTATTAACCTATTCTCTACTTTTTTGTATATTTTTGAAGTTGTCTATGATAAAATCTTAAAGAGATAATAGGCAGAAGGAGTCCTAGACTAGGCATTAAGAAAAGTTAGACTATTAAAGACAAGGGCCGGGGATTTAGCGCAGTGGTTCTGCCGCCTGCCTCATAAGTGGAAGGTCCCGAGTTCAATCCCTGGTACCAAAAAAAAAAAAAAGAAGAAGAAGACAAGGTGGGTGGGAGGTGTAGCTTAGTGGTAGAACATGTGCTTAGCATGCTACAAAGTCCTAAGTTTATTCCCAGCAGAAAACAATAAGACTATAGGACCACTGGAAAATGAATTAACTCTGAACAGATCTGTCATCCTCAGGGCCTAATACTGCCAACCTTGCAAGGCTGGACTCTTAATCAGTTATGCGTCTAGAGTCTTTGTGTGTGTGTGTGTGTGTGTGTGTGTGTGTGTGTGTGTGTGTGTGTGAATCCAGGGTCTCTAGTAAATGCTCTATCACAGTTACACCCCTAACCCTCTGGAGCCAATTTTTATCCTAAATCTTGATCTCCTCTTTACTTTTCTTCCCTGCACTGTGGTTGATCTCCAATCAAGCAACTCCAAGTCAGGCATATGTATGCATGCCTATAACCCAGCACTCATGGAAGCAGAGGCAGGAGGATCAAACTTTTGAGCCCAGGCTGACCAACTTAGCAAGACTCTGTCTCAAAATAAAAGATAAAAATGGGCCGGGGATTTAGCTCAGTGGTTTTGCTGCCTGATGCACAAGCGCAAGGACCCGAGTTCGATTTCCTAGTACAAAAAAAAAAAAAAAAAAAAGGGAAG